CAACTCCCACACCTGTGATTCATCACTGAGCCGAGATCTTGCCTCGTGGCTCCAATATGGCGGAGGCCCATCTTTCGTGTCCCATTCAATGTTCGAACGAGGTCTCTCGGACGTTGTGGGGTTTTTTGGGCCCTGACGGGCCTCATCGCTCAGACCGTTTTCCATTCATGTCCTATGGGGCTGCGTTTTTTGGCGTTTATTCGAAAATGCCCGGTCTTTTGAGAAAGTTTTTAACAAGCACGCATTCCCAGGTTGGTCCAGACGCACGTGCCGATTTTGGGCCCGATCCATCGAACCATGCGGGACTAGTTACGGTTTTCGGCCAGTTTCTCGAACCCTCCCATTCATTCCTATGGCCCAAATTTCGCCACTTTTTCGCCGTTTACTCGGAAACGCCCGGTCCTTTGAGAAAGTTTTGAACAAGCACACATCCCGTGGTCGGCCGGATGCGCGTGCCGGTTTTGGGCCCGATCCGCGGAACCGTGCGCGGCAAGTTACGCGCCGAAATTCGTGACGGAAACGGGAGGACGATAATAAGCCACGGAATAAATACGGCGAAGAGTAATAGGGGGACCTGCCGCTGGCAGTGGCCCCCCTAATAAATATGCCGAAGAGTAATAGGTGGGCCTGCCGCTGGCATTGGCCCCCCTAATAACCGTTGGGAGCAGCCGAGAAAAAATAGACTGGCTGAGACCTGAAACCCTCGTGCCGCTCACGGTCGAAGAATTTCGGAATTCGCTCTTTTAGTTTTTGAACAGTTTTTGAACAGCGGACAGTAGCGGACAGTAGTTCGAAGGATACTTTTGATCCAATCAAAATTGGGTCTGTGTCAGAGCTGCGGCTCAGTGATGAGTGACAGCTGTGGCAGTTTGGAATGTTGAGACTTGGGGCCAGGCTGCCGTTGCTGTGGCGATCAGCAGAGCTCTGTGAGCTGTGGAGCTGAGGGATACATTGGTTCTGGTACCAGGCGGGCGAAGCCCGCTCTTAGTGATTTTTTAAGTAATACATTGGTTTTGGTACCAGGCTAGCGAAGCCCGCTTAGAGGGGTTTAGTCAGAGCCCGGTTCTGGTTCTGGGGATCGAACCCAACCGGGTCGGAACCGGACCGGGACCGGACCCAGGCATGTCGTACCTCGTTGTGTAGGTCTTTTTCTCAGCATTCAGCCAATGTGACCCCCGACCTGCTCAAACCAATTAGATTCGGTCAGCGGGCCCCAGAGCTCAGCCAGGTCCCTCTATCACTGCGTCTCTCCCTCAGGCCCTCTCATAGGCGCAAGCCCACATTACAGAGAGCCCAAATATCGATTGGCCGACCTGCCCCGGGTTCCTGGACGGGCAGTAGGTGGCCCCCCTCAAAATTTATTTAGAAATGTTTTAGTTTATGTAATTACTTGGATTCTTTTGTAGATTTTACCCATAATAATAGACTCTTTTGTCCACTTTCCCTCATTTAAATTGACCCAGGAGGAGCATTTATGAAGGTAATTACTTGGATTTTGGAGTCAGGCGTGGTTTCATCCTTCATGAAGGTCCCCGTCTTCATGACCAGCGCCTCGCTGCTGGAGTCGTCTGAAGAGGTTCGCTTCTCGGCGAACGCCATCAGGACTCGTCTGCCTCGGTCGTAGAAAAGAGCAGGAATCCGGTACACCTCCTTCTTGTCCTTGTTGGAGAGAAAGACGGTGCTCTTCTCCTCGTATCGACTGGGGACCTTGTTGGCCATCGTCTGTAATCTGGAAGGAAAACGACAGTTCAGGGGATCGGAGTCTGCCGGTTGGTTTTCTGCTGTTCGTTGGGAAGTTGGAGGCATTATTAAGCATGATAATGACCACTTAGTGAGGGTGTGGCAGTCATAAACGATAATAACAGAGGTTTTTGATGTTTCGTCGTGCTTTTTTTCAGTTGGCGTGACAGTGGACAATGGAAACGGTTCATTTCTTAACGAGACCCAAAGAAAACAAACTTCCCTTTAACTTTAAGAGCAACGGTGGATAGAACCTGGAGATGCAAACTTTGTGCCCATCTGATAGTAAAAGTATTGTAAAAGTTGAGTTTAACAACCGACAAACTTATCCAGCCTACTAAAATTAAGGCCTTCCCCCTTTTAAGGAGGCGTACGGTGGAAAAAGATATTTAAAGTTACTCCACAAAAACACAACCATAGTTGGTTTTCTTTTGGATCCCTTTGGTTGTAAGGTACATGTTTAATTAGCCATCTTTGATTTGTAAGACACTTTTACCATTGGAGGAACTATCTGTGTCTTTGGGGGGGTCTGGTCCAACTTCATTATGGTTCTGATCACTAAATTAAATTCCACAGCAGACATCCAGGTTTTAATCAAAGCTAGTGCGTGTGGGTACACTTTAATTTATATTGAGGAGATGAGCACTTTCTTGAATTTATATCAGAACTTTGAACAAAAACATCACTGAGTTAGTGTTCAAGTTGTATTTATTCGTAATCAAGACTGCACTCAGAAATAGTTTTGACAAAAAAAGAGATAAAGTCAGAGTTTGTTTGATTTAAATTCCACTTAAATTTCATCCACTTGATGCACAGATCACATGATTTGTTTGCGAATTTGGACGCCTGGCAGAAAATAACCAAACAATTCAAACAGTTCAAATAAAAAAATAAGGAAAAAAAGTCCTCAAGTTAAAATAGCTTAAAATGCTTTTAAATGACACCCCAGCCATCTTTTTTCATCAGGAAATGTCATCAAATGGGAATAAAGAGTTTTTTAAAGTATTCTTTTCACCTCGGCTTTGAATTACTTTTCAAAATAAAACAGAAGACAAACCAGAAACAAGCATGGACAAAAACTCACCAGCAGAAAATGCTCCCACAGCTGAAGTTTGACTTTTGTTGACTCTGATTGGGTCGTCCTTTGATACTCCCGTGTTTATCTCCCTAAACTGTTGTTAGAACTGGGCTCTAGTTACTCACTTTAGCATTGTATGCTACAACATCATCCAGGTAAATTATTGTCTTATTCCTTTCAGAACTATTCTCTGGTGTTAAACTCTCTGGGAATGCCTACAGCTCCTCCTTTCTCTCTGTTACAGTAGATTAACATCCACAAGGTCAACATTCACACTTCCTTATCAAATTCCAGTGAAATCTATATTAATTTGGAGCTAGCCTGTTCACGTCAGAGCTAACTGGCCAATAACACTGGTTGAGTCCAGTCCTCCTATTGTATGGGGCCCGGCCCAGACGATAACTGTACATCGCACAAGGAAATTGAGGCTCTTGCCAACTGAGAACTTCCGGGAGCTTTTGTCTGTGAGAGCCCAGCATTGGTTTATTTTACTAGTGAGCAATAGAAATATTGTTTGTACTATTGATCTGCTCTGGTTTATTCTCAGGCTTCCAAGGAAAGAATCGGGCTAACACCCTTATACAGCCAGTTTATCTCATCTTCTCCAGAAATCAAAACAATTAAGATACCGGGTTAGGTTAATGATTTCCAAAAGGAGACAAACGAGTGATGTTTTGTTTACGTTTTACAGTGTCCAGACATGTTTGAGACATGACAAAGGAATGCATTCAGGAACGCTTTTCCTTCTCCTCCATTTGGATTTCGACCATATTTCCTTTTCTCTGACAGCACTTGTAAATATCTATGTAGAGACTGCTTAAACCACCATTAAGAATTACTAAAAATGTCCCAAAAATAAATATAATTTCTTATAATTTCCAGTTCTCAAATTTTCTGAAGCTCTTTCAGATCTTTTTTCTCTGGATATTTTTTGCTTTCTTCTGTTTTTAGTGCTTGTATTTTCAGAGGAATCAGTTTTTTCTTTGTTACTTTATCAGCTCTGAATAGGTCAAACAGGAAAAAGACCCCTAACTCAAGGGATGAGCCAGTGATGTGATGTATGATTTGTTCCCAGTTTGACAGACAGGAAACTGGGTTTCTGTTAGAGCTGTTAGCTAAGACCCAAAAAGTACCAGATTAGTACCAAAAAGGAACTATGTGCCAGTAAAACAAGCTGTTCAATAGCTTCATTTAAAGCTGCAACGCTGAAGCGGTTTGTTAAGTGTGTTCATAACTATTGTCATTGTGATGAGAAATGTAATTTTGTGTCTACTCTGTAAGTCGCTTTGGATAAAAGCGTCTGCCAAATGCATAAACATAAACATAAACAACATAACGTGGAGCAGATATTTGGAAAAAGCCTGAAGCTGCATTTTGTTCATAGCTTTGGGTGACGTTGTTGACAACGAGCCTGAGAAGTAAAATCATGTGGCAAATAGTTTGGTGGAAGTGCAGCTGGAGGCATTTCTGTGGAAGATGAGGCTGTAAAAGCAAGACAAGACATGGGAGAGATAAAGGTCTTCAGCCTTTAGCTCACAGCGGTCTTCAATCATTTAACAAACGGGATCCATTCATGGTAACCAGCTGCCTAAGGCCACTGTGAGAAGCATACCTTAGCCACAAAAACATTTGCCTCAGGTTGTTGTTTAAGCCCTATCTGCAAAGGAAAGAACCCAAATAGGGGACTTTGTTGTTGTTTAAGTTAACAAAGTCAATCCATACAATGACCAAACTGATTAAATTAGCATTAGATTAGGTGAAAGTGAGCCAGGAACAGCTTGTTTGTGTGAAATTGAACAAAGATAGGTGTGTGTTCGTCCTCTCCGGGCTAATAATTCGCACACTGTGAGGGGGAGGCGCCGTAGAAACAAAAACACTGAGGAAAAACGCCCCAAAATGGCCGCCGGTTTTTTAACCGAACGTTAACGGCTTTAACGGCTCTCCGCGGAGCCTAAATGGTCGAAGGCTTTTACACCGAACGTTAACGGCTCTCCGCGGAGCCAAAATGGTGGCCGGTTTTTTAACCGAACGTTAACGGCTTTAACGGCTCTCCGCAGAGCCAAAATGGCCGCCGCGCAGCTCGGTGGCCCCCCCTCTCCTCCCGCGGTGGGCGGGGCCTGCGCTGCTGCGGAACTGGGTCACATGACCCGCGCAGGGGGAGGCCAGGCTGACCAAATCCAATATGGTGGCCAGCTTGGCAGGTCTACGGTTCCTGTTGTTGATGATATTGTTGTTCTGCGGGATCGGACACGGCGCCTGCGGCGGCCCCGAGGCTCCGCGGGTCCTGGGGCTGCGACTGGAGGACCCGGCCGACCTGGTGTCTATGCGGGACCGGGTCATCTCCGCCCCGGAGGGAGCCACGTTCAAGATCCGTCTCTTCGGGGCCGGCCTCAATGGGACCTGGCCGTGGGTGGCGTTCGCGGGGGCGGCCGGAGGGGCTGCGGGGGCGGCCGTGGGAGACGCCCCCGACCCGTGCGGGGAGGAGGCCAACCGCCGGGACTCCTTGTTCCAGGTGACCGGGGAGTTCGTCCTGGATGAGGACCACAGCGGGCTGCTGACCGTGGGGGTGAAGCCCCGACCCGGTGGGGGTGGTGATAGGGATGGGGAAGGTGGGTACCACCACCTGTGCGTGTTGACCGGGGACCGGTGGGCCTCCGCGGGCCCGGACCGGCTCCGGGCCGTGGGGCGCCCCGGGGCCCGGGGGGGGCTCCCCCCCTGGGGCCTGGCCCTGCTGGTGGGGGCGCTGCTGCTGGGCTGCGGGCTGCTGAGGACCGCCGGACTGAGCCTGCTCTGGCTGGACCCCCTGGAGCTCTACGTGCTGCACAGCTGCGGGTCCGAGGAGGAGAAGCGCACCGCCAAGCGCCTGGAGCCCGTCCGCAGGAGGGGGAACTTCCTGGTGAGTAGCACGTGGGGACCCCCACACCCCCCCAGTCCCCCCAGTCCAGTCCCCCCAAAGATAGGGTGACACTTACCTCCAGAGGAGTTCAGATGCTTCTCAGGCTTTATTATCCAATACAACTATCCAGTACTATCCAATTATCCAGTACAACAATAACACAATCTGTAACAACCACTAACCTAGAATATGTAAATAAAACCGAATACTGGTGTAAATATGAGCTCTTTCAACAAAATACCTCTTATTACCCTCTAAATGTAATAAATGAAACAGTCTCACAACGACACAAACTCAACACTGTCGCTGTGTGTCTGTCGCTCTATGTGCGTGTGTTTATGTGTATGTGTGTTTATGTGTGTGTCTGTGTGTGTGTGTGTCTCTCTATCTTTGCGTGTATGTGTCTCTGTGTGTGTGTGTGTCCGTGTGTGTTTGTGTGTGCGCGCGTGTGTCTCTATGTGTGTGTGTGTCCGTGTGTGTTTTTGTGTCTGTGTGTGTGTCTCTGTGTGTGTGTCTGTGTATGTGTGTGTGACCCCAGTCCCCCCAAAAGCTAGGGTGACACTTTTCCTCCAGATGGGTTCAGATGGCTCCTCAGGCTCTATTATCCCTCAATGGTACAACAATAACAACCAGTAACCTCCTGTAGAATACATAAATAAAACCAAATAATGGTCTAAATATGACCTCTTCTGTATTACGAAATACAGATTCAACCAAATACCTCGAAATGCCCTCTTAGTGTAATGAAGTAAACAGTCTCACAACGACATAAACTCAACACTGTCTCTGTGCATATGTGTCTTTCTGTGTGTTTATGTGTGTGCGTGTTTATGTGTGTGTCTCTGTGTGTGTGTGTCTCTCTCCTTGCGTGTAATGTATGTGTGTCTGTGTGTGTGTCTCTGTGTGTGTGTGTCTGTGTATGTGTGTTTGTGTCTCTGTGTGTGCGTGTGTGTCTCTGTGTGTGTGTCTCTCTCCTTGCGTGTGTGTGTGTGTCTGTGTATGTGTGTGT